TTTTGTCCATGTCAGGAGCGACTTGAGAAACCAAGTTGCTTCTGGTGTGAGAATATTGACTGTCAGTATTCTGAAAGGATTGCTGAAAATATCATTTGCTGTGACTGATGCCCCTTCTACACTGCCATATGAAATCCAGATTATCTGCATTGAACTTGATTATATAATAGTGTGGAAAGGACCTGAGAGAAGCTTTGCACTGACTTGGATACAAATTTAAAACCTTCAGCTTTGCTGCCATGCTTCATAGAAAACATTTGCAAAACACTACCAGTAGATGGCAGATCTTGACTGTTCTATTTGCTTTGGTTTAATTCCATCAGCTTCCAAACGTGACTGACTTTGACATGACTACTGGATCTATTTCTTATTAGAAATTTCCAAGGTATACTAAAAGGAAGCTGGATACAGAAAAATCAGTTGTATGTTATAGTGTGGTTAAGTCTCTATCTCTAACCGTTTTAACTGTCGGGAGAGGTTTCATTGTGACTTCCTGTATAACACAATGGGATTGGACTGAATGGTTCTTCCTACTCTATGTTTCTGTAATTCTATGTCTCAGTGCACACGACCAGTCTATAATTTATTTTTAGTATCAAAACTAAAGTTCTGATCTTTTTTTTATGACACAAAGCCTTTTTTTTACAATCATATTGCTGAAATTAAATTTTGAATCAAAACCAAATACAAATCATTGCCACGATTGCTTCCCTTCCCCCCCCCCCCCCCCCTCGCAAAATCTACACACATATCTATACATAGAACACATATACTTCAGAAAAGTGCTTACAATAATTGTTCCCCATTGGAGGGAAGGATACTAGAGACAAAGTTGAAGTACTTTGGCCACATCATGAGGAGACAGCAAAGCCTAGAGAAGACAATTATGCTGGGGAAAGTGGAAGGTAAAAGGAAGAGGGGCCGACCAAGGGCAAGATGGATGGATGGCATCCTTGAAGTAACTGGACTGACCTTGAAGGAGCTGGGGGTGGTGACGGCCGACAGGGAGCTCTGGCGTGGACTGGTCCATGAGGTCACGAAGAGTCGGAGACGACTGAACGAATGAACAACAACAACACTATCCCCCCTTCCATGGCTGATACCATATGAGAGACTCCCCGCTGGGTACACAAAAGACTGGGCGACTTGGAAGGTGCTGAAAGACTGTGTCTGACACCACAAGATGCAGAACCAATATTCAGAAGTCGGGCTACAAAGTGGAGTCCACAACATGCGGAGAACAGCAAACCACAAACCACCTATTGCAATGAAGACTGAGCCCTGCCATACACACAATGAAGGAGCTTCTAACAGCAACACCAGAGACACTCCAAGTGGCCAGCTTCTGGTCAAAGGACATTTAGTATAATGTCTAGTTTTCAACTTTGTTTGTGTTTTTAAATACATAATAACTACCTTCAATTCGTTTCTGACAGGATAAATAAACCCCATTGCAGTGACCTCCCGTCCTTTGGGATAAAGGCATTAATATACAACCTTGCCCTTCTTTCCCAGGAAAGCATTCACCCATTCTATGTATTGTCCAAGGCTTTCATGGCCAGAATCACTGGGTTGTTGTAAGTTTTTGGGGCTGTATGGCCATGTTCCAGAAGCATTCTCTCCTGACGTTTCACCTGCATCTATGGCAGGCATCCTCAGAGGTTGTCAGGCGAAACATCAGGAGAGAATGCTTCTGGAACATGCCCATACAGCCCGAAAACCTTACAACAACCCACATTCACCAATTCTGATCTTTTAAATAAAAATCCACATTTATTCTGATTTTATCTGCTTCAAAAGCCCAATTAAGTTGGAAAGAGCCTTTTAAAATTGGTAATATGTCATAATAATGAATTAATTAGTTTTGTGTTGATGCTCACATGAATTAATATGGAACCTTTAGGCCAAAAGGGAGGGGCATTAGGAGACCCAGTAAAATCCCAAGCTTTGCGGAAATATAGTATCTACAAGGGATCATCTCCAGATTTCACATAAATATACAAAACCATGAATAATAGTGAGTCGTGTTGAAATAAAGAACTTCCAGCCCAAGAATATCTCAGTGTCATACTATAAGACCCAAAAAATATCTAGAGATGATGTATTTTGTTGACCTTGGATAAATGAAACTACGGGTACTGGTCCCGCAGATTTTTTTTTGGGGGGGGGGGGTACTTTACAAAGAAAATATTGGAAGGAGAGGAACCCTAAGAAAAGAAAATCTTCCCCCAGAAAGAGCAACACATGTTCAATATCCTTGGCATGCTAGCTGACTATTATAGGTAGGGTAAAGAAAAGCAAAAAGCAATGGTGCAGACCATCTTGGAGAAAGCCACAAATGAACTGGGTTGTTGTATGTTTTTTCGGGCTATATGGCCATGTCCTGACATTTCACCTGCATTTATGGCAAGCATCCGCAGAGGTAGTGAAGTGAAACATCAGGAGAGAATGCCTCTAGAACATGGCCATATAGCCTGAAAAAACCTACAACAACCCAGTGATTCTGGCCATGAAAGCCTTTGACACCACAAATGAACTGTTTAGCAGCTCCTCCAATTTTCTTCTTTTCCTTTCTTAACAAGTGAACTTGTGGCTATGATGATAGACTTGAAGCTTCTAGTTTCTTCTCATGAGTAGCACTCACAAAGCACAGAGTAGATATGTTTTGGACAACATATCCTGCTGGAAAGCATGGGATGTTGTACTCCAAAACCACAATCTCCCAATGCTCTTGTAGGAGCATGTGCACTATTAAAGCATGATTTGTACAGGTCTGACAGTGTCATCTTAAGTTTGTTTTCCTTTCAATGCAGTCTTGCTATTCATCTTGGCAGCTCAAAAATGGCAGCCAGCAAACTCAAAATAGTCTCAGTCATCCCCCAATTTTTGTCCCTGCCTCCCCAATGAAAATTGTCATGCAGGAAAAAAGGAAACATGAACATCTTTTTGTGCTTATGTATACCTTATACATAATGCATACATTTATAATAGTTGTAAGTGGCTATCAGAGCAAACCTAAGTACTAAAAACTGTGTACCACGAAGTTTTATAAGGAAGCATGTACTGCTAAAAAAAACCCCAAATCAATGGATCCTAGAACAAAATAAGCCTGAACTCTACCTATAAGTCAAGATGACAAAGTTGAGGGCTGTACTTTGGCCACATCATGAGAAAATATTGTTCACTTGAAGTGACAATAATGCTTGGTAAACTAGAAGGCAGTAGAAAAAAAGGAAGACCATATTCCAGATGGATAGATTCAGCCAGAGAAGCAATGGCCCTGAACCTGCAAGATCTGAGCAGGATTTTTGAGGACAGGATGACTTGAAGATCTCTCATTTATGGAGTTGCCATAAGTGTGAGTTGACTTGAAGGTAGCCCTTCGGACCAGTAATGCAATTGGTTGAATCCATGGATGCAGAAACCACTGGTCATAAAGAAATAATGACAAACAAAATGTGTGTATCACTCCATGAATAACTATACTTATTTTAGTACATTTCTGTACATGTCTACTGAAATCTAAATTTCATTGACTTGAATGAGATTTATCTCCAGCTAAATTGACATACAGCCTTTGGTGGTTACACAAAATGTGCCACTTTTCCTTGGTATGGGTTTTCGTGGCCCAGCCCTGTGTGTGTTCATTCAGAAGTCACAATGCGTCCAATGAAAGTAGCTGCTTTTTCAACATACAAGAAGCAATGTTGGGAATATGAAATTTCCAAATGTGCTTTACATACTTGCTGGGTTAGGATCATACTAAATAGAACAATGGTTCTTAACCTGTGGGCCACAACAATGAAAATCTGGTCCACAAGCCTCCTTCCTCTTTATTTATATTTATTTTATTTCCACTCCTTTTGCACCTCCTGCCACTCTTTCCTGGTCACTGACCATGGCATATGTTCTGTATCAGAAACCAGAGCTGATGTGGTCTATCCAATGCAATTTTCTAAATCAGCACTCCAAACCAAATCTAAAGTTTACCAAAAACTGATATTTTTGTTACTAATGTTGGAGAGTGGTTCCTGGTCAAAGTGGTCCCTGATTTTAAAAAATGGTTGGGAACCACTGAAATAAAAGAATAGATTTGGTTCTGCAAATTTGGATGAACTGCAGAAGTTTATGTAGAATTCCTGGAGTTAGGAGGAATTCGGATTTATGATCTTTATATTTCAAGACCATTTGAGATGCATTATTGTACATTTTTGCTGACGCATCTTGAAAACTAACGGAAAGGATGTTTTGGACTTTAGATGTTGGATTTAGGCAAAATTCCATTTCAACTCTGGAATTCTACCAGGAATTTAAGTATGAACATTTTGTCTCCTCCTCGGGGCAAACAGTGATAGAAGACAGGTGGATGTGAATGCTCAATAAAATGAGTAAAATGGACTAGAGAAAAACAAATTCCAAGAACAAAATAACCCATCCTGGAAGAATCGGATTCTACGCATTACTCTATTGAGGACTAGTTGTTGTGATATGCCATTGTTTCAGTAAAATCCAATAAAACCAGACTAATCTGAGGCATAGGACTCCTGTGAAAGAAAACATTGTGGATAAAGAAAATGCTAATTTTTTTCTACCCGAGAGGACACCTATCTAGGTATTCCTAGCACGATTCTGTGATCAATTTCCCCTGAAAACTGGCCATAGAATTGCACTGGAGGACCTAGATTCCCATGGAAACATTTTCTGAAGTAATGTCAAGATTACGACAGTTGTGGTTTTAACCAGAACCTGGGTATATTGCATTTTAATTACAATTCCCAAATGCACAATTGTCTACACTGCTAGGAAGTTCTGAGAGTTGCAGCCCAAAAAAGAAATCTTTCCAGACATTAGTTTTGCTGTGTTAAAATGGAGGTAAAGAATCTTTGATGCAATTTATTGAATCTATGGATGCAGAAACCACTGGTCCGGAGGGCTGACTGTAAAGAAAAACCAAGACAGATGGAGCATACTTGAAATATCATATCCTTTTTGGCCCTTAATTAATTTCTATTCCAAGTTTATTAAACATTACAGACACTAGGAAAAAAACTTAATTTCACAGTCAAAACTACAGTCATACAAGGCTCACAAAAGGACAGTCAGTGGGGAGCAGCTCAGAAGAGTAACAAATGATTCCAGACAATATGTTCTTCTTGATTTTTAAGATTTCAGGTCTTCAGATACTGGTTTCTGGGTAGCATCAAAAGTAATCAGACATCCTTATTGCTTTCTACTGGAGTACTCTCTTTGTCACTTCTGCTGCTACGATCTTTCCAAAAGTAAACACTGTACAGGTTGATCAAGAAAAACAAAATCAAAAATTGTGGATGGGCTAAGACAGAGAGCCTTGGCTTTCTGATGGCTTACTGTACACAAACTTTGTTTCACACACAAATTTATTAAAATGTTGTGTATAAAATTATCTTTAGACTATGTACAGTATCTAAGGCAGGCATGGCCAAACTTGGGCTCTCCAAGTGTTTTGGACTTCAACTCCCACAATTCCTAACAGTCAGTAGGCTGTTAGGAATTGTGGAAGTTGAAGTCCAAAACACCTGGAGGGCCGAAATTTGCCTATGCCTAATCTAAGATGTATACAAAACATAAATAAAATTTTGTGTTAGACTTGGGTCCCACCTCCAAGGTATCCCATTATATCTGTAAATGCAAATACAGGCATTTCAAAATCCCCCCTTCCCCCCAAAAAATGAAATCCAAAACATGCTGGGTCCCAAGCATTTCAGATAAGTGATACTCAACCTGTATAACAGTTTAGGGAAGACTGCATGTGTAGGTTGTAAGACCATTTCCCAAGGTCTGCCTTCTATGACTAAGTACCTTTCTAAATACTTAAGTAAAAAAATTAAAAATATCAAAACAAATTTATTTTCTAAGGAAGGTAAACAAGAATCCAGGCAATTGAATAGTACAGTGGTTCTTTAAAATGAACGATATTATTAATACTCCTCATACTTACAACAATTGCCCAGATCTAAAGTTTTGGAGGTTTGGTTGCTTTTAAACAGTCTGAGATCCATTTCTATTTCTTCAAACTTAACACCAGATAATCAGGCATTTAACATAGATCATGGAGTGATGCCTATCCCACCTTGCCAAAGTACCAGAGAGAGGTTTAAAATAACTTTGTTCAGAAAACCGAGTTCAGCAGAGATCATGCACAGCTAACAGACCAGGGAAAGTTTTCCAGATGGGTTAAAAACAGGAAAGTAAAGATAAGTCTTTGGTTTTGCTATGGAAAAGCAATATTAATTATGAAGACTTTGGAATGCAGGCTTGTCACAGATCTTGATAACACAATGGCTCATTCACACTACACTATTATACTGTTACTTTTCCACTAACGGTAACCCCCGGTGGCAAAGCAGGTTAAACCACTGAGCTGCTGAACTTGCTGACCAAAAGGTCAGTGGTTCAAATCCAGGGAGCAGGGTGAACTCCTGCTGTTAGCCCCAGCTTCTACCAACCCAGCAATTCAAAAACATGAAAATCTGAGTAGATCAATAGGTACCGCTTTGGCGAGAAGGTAACAGTGCTCTATGCAGTAATGCCGGCCACATGACCTAGGAGTAGTCTACAGACAACGCCAGCTCTTCAGCTTAGAAATGGAGATGAGCACCACCCTCCAGAGTTGGACACAACTAGACTTAATGTCAGGGGAAAACCTTTACCTATTCCACTTTACTGTACCAATGCCCTATGGAAACCTGGGATTTGTAGTTTTATGAGGCAGTGGAGTTCTCTAGCTGAGAACTACCAATCCCAGGATTTCATAGGATGGATATCATAACTATTTTTCTTTAGTGGAAATGGGCCACAATTTGATTTATATATTGCAATGCAATTGCAGCGCTTCCTCTTATTCAAAAATATGGTGCAGCCTTGCACATGACAGAACACACATGTCTGTCTAAAAAAAAAAAAATCAAGAGTTGCCTTTTGTTCTTTTTTCTTCTCTGAGCCATATGGCTAAGGCAGCAAAACAGAATGGTTTGTTGCAGGGCATGACTCTGTAAAAATTAAAAACGGGTCCCTATCTGGAATGTGTTTTGATTTTTCTATAGGAATAACAGACGTTTCAAGTCCACCAATATTTCCCCAATAACAAAAACTCTTTGGCCTAGGAAAGCTACTTTTTGTGTTTCATTTTGTTTTTGCAGTTCTGTAGTTAAAAATGCTTTATATGAGATTTTTAAATCTTTTCATGTATCTTTTCTACTTTCACAAACAATCTGTCTAGGTCATTTCTTATGTCATCTAATGAACTTTTCACTGACTGCACCTCATTATCATTGGTCTCTATTTTTACAGAGTAGGCAACTAAACTGTCAACGGCAGTCCGAAGCATTTTCATGTCAGATTCAGCCTGGCCAAGAGAAGAGCGCAGTTCATCGATGGAGCCTTTGATAGAGGAGAGTTCTCCTAGATGACCCTGAGATTGTTCTTGAGCCAATAAAGAACGAACTTGTTTCTGGATGTTATCCAGTACATCAGCATTGTTTGATAAGTCGCTCATTCTTTTCCTTAGTTCACCCATATCATTGTACATTGAGAGCTTTGCTTCACCAAGACTCCTCACTGTATCTGTCAAAAAGCGAACATCATCTTCTAAAGTCTGACGAAGAGAGCTGAGACTCTCCTCGAAGGCAGCTACCTTGCTGTCATCTCTCTCCATTTCTTCCATGCGTGATGCAGATGCGGACATCACAGTCTGAAGGCTCTCTTCTAAGGACTCAAGTCTTGATTCAATATTTTTATTGCTCTTTTGCAGACTTTCTACATCATCTTTGGTCAGCACAGAGTCTCCCTCCAAAGTAGTCGATCGCTTGGTGCGCAGGAAGTCTTCACTGAGTCTCTTAATCTCATCAGGAAGATGTGCAATTGAGTCTTCTGCCTTAAGAACTTTCTCTTCCAAAGCTTGTAATGAAAGGTGCTCGGTGTCTGCGGCCTCTTTGAACTTTTCATGTTCCTGTTTGAGGTTGATGAGTTCTTTGACTTCAGACAAGACATCAGACTCCATCGTATCTATGGTACTTTGCAGTGATTCTATGGTCTTTTCTTTATCTCTCATGGATGTTTGCATCTCATCAACAATCCCTTTCAAAACCTGAAAATCATGTTTGCATTCTTTTATTTCTCCAAGTGTAGCCAGCTTTCTTTTGACTTCGTTGATTTCATCTTGGCTTCGTTTCTGGACATCTGTGAATTCAGCAATATTGTCATTTATAGACCTGGTTAACTCAGTTAACCTTTCCTCCACGGTGTTTTCCAGTGATGTGAAATCTCGTTCTCTGGCATCTTTGACAACGTGGATCCCATCCGACAGGTCTTTTAGGATTTCATTTTGTAGTTTCTGAAGAACCTCACCAATGCGGTTGATCTCACTCTCCCCTTGCTGAACAGCCCTCTCAGTGATTTCTTGCTTTTGCTGAGCATTTTTCAGCATGCCTTCAAATCTTCCAAATGAGTCCTGAAGGGAATTCACCTATAAAAAAGGAAAAACAAATCAAACTTCTGAATCAAGGCCATTTTAGTGACATATCAAAATGTGTGTCATTTGAGTAAAGCTGGAAATGTTTTGGGGCTAGCATTCCTAGCAATAGGAGCTGATATAGCCCATGGTTAGGTGAGATGAAAGTGTATGGTCCATAAAAGTAACATATCCAATCTCTGGACTCAAATACACTTCTGAGCTCTTCTGAACATACATACATCAGGGCGGCCTCGCAAAAGCATCATAGGATGCCAGCATCATAAAAATAATCAACAATCAGCAATACATTAAAATATTAAAAAACAGTAATGAAACAATTGATTAAAAACACGCCTGGTAAAATTAAAATAACCTTCTGTGTGGAATTTTCAGAAGCTGTTGCTTCCATGGAAAGGAAGTAACAGCTTCAGTTGCTTTGCCATCTCAAAATATGGATCCATCCCATGTGACAGTGTTTCAAATTAATAATTATGTAGCTAGATTTTCAGTTGCAACATCCAAAAGCAAAACAACCACCTTTTGCAAACATGGGATCTGAGTACAGAGCATTTTATTCAAGAACGTAAATATTAAAAAGGATGTAATTCAGACAACCTCGAAATCCATGTAAAGGGGCCACAGGTGGCGCAATGGGTTAAACCCTTATGCAGCTGAACTGCTGTCCTGAAGGTTGGCAGTTCGTATCCGGAGGATGGGGTGAGCTCCTGCTGTTAGTCCTAGCTCCTGCCAACCTAGCAGTTTGAAAACATGCAAATGTGAGTACCACTTCGATGAGAAAAGGCAAAAGATGCTCCCTGCAGTCATGCCAGTCACATGACCAGGAGGTGTCTACAGACAACTCAGGCTCTTTGACTTGGAAGGAGAAGAGAGCCTCCCCCAGAGCCAGAAATTAAAGGAGAAGCCTTTGCCTTTGTCTGTGCATTTGTGTCTCACTGTATTTCATTGTAACAAGGCATTGAAAGTTTGTCTGTGTCTGTTTATATGCTGTAATCCACTCTGAGGCCCCCTGGGGAGAAGGGCAGAATATAAACAAAGTGTTATTATTAATCTGAATTGCTCTAAAGCAGGGGTCCACAAACATTTTAAACAGAGGGCCAGGTCAAAGTCCCTCAAACTGTTGGAGGGCCGCATTATAATTTGAAAATAATGAATGAATTCCTATGCACAATGGAAATATCTTATTTGTAGTGCAAAAACACTTAAATACAATAATTAAAATGAAGAACAATTTTAACAAATATAAAGTTATTAGTATTTCAATGGGAAGTGTGGGCCCTGCTTTTGGTTGATGAGATAGTGTTGCTGTTGTTGTTGTTGTTGTGTGCTTTCAAGTAGTTTCAGACTTAGGTTGACCCTGAGCAAGGGCCAGGTAAATGACCTTGGAGGGCCATATTTGGCCCTCGGGCCTTAGTTTGAGGACTCCTGCTCTAAAGTTATGATAGCTACTCCAAGGAATATATGGGCTTATTCACACTGGCTGCTTAATGCAGAGCCAGTCCAGAGCAGAAATGGTGGCCACATACTCCATGCCCTGGTCCTGCTGTCCATTGTACACCCAAACTACAGGATTGCTCCAGACCTTTAGCCAATTCTGGAGTATCCCCCAACTTTCCTTAATGTTTAATCAAACCATTTTAACCTGGTTTACACCACCATAAGGGCTGGAAATCCTGAACATCATGAAAAATTCCAATAGTGACTCCATGATGACTGCAGGCTATTCAGCTTGTATAGACAGGCCCTATATTCATGGCAATGCACTCAGGCCAGTGCTTCTCCTTCAACCAGTAACAACGAGGCACAATAATGCCACCAATGAATGTTACTGGAACAGAAGGTAGATTTCTCTATCTTAATTTTGAAAATACCACACCGGCTTGAAACAAGAACATTATGATTTTTATCAGCCTTAGAATTTCTACAAGTACATTTCTTTGAAGGAAGTAGATGTGTAAAATAAAAACATTTAAAAGCACACTTTCACAGCCAAGATCTATTTCATGCACAAGAAGAGGAAGTGCTATGCCAAGAACAAGTCTAAACACAGTTTCAGTGACAGTTAAATAGATTGCCCACTTTCTATTCATTCATTGTAGCTTTGTATTAAACACTGTTAGAACCATCCAAAAGGGAAACTTGAATTACATCAGTGCAGAAAGTATAATATCTTAAATGTTCTACTTGTCACTGAAGAAATCTTAAGTTTGTTAAAATGGGGCAGGCAAAGTGGAAGCAAGAGGCTGGAGCAGTTTTGACCATCCCAAGCACTTTATATGAAGGACTATTAATACATTAAGACCTTCATATCAAAGTTTCACTGAGCCATACATGGGGAAAAAGGAATTCCCTAGGTCCCCCATGTGGTCCTATGGCATGTTTCCCTTGGAAGTCATTGCAGTTGCCCTGAAAGACCTAGCAATTTCCTAAAAGATATTTCTCTAGGAACTTCTAGGACTTCCAGGGTGACTCCATGATTTGCTAGGACCAGAAGTCGGGAAATGTAATGGTGTTCAGGCATATTAGCACTTTTAGGTAACCACAGTCCAGCCGTGAATGGAAGCTCATGGATATGGAGGTCTTACTATAATGTTACTTCTGTCCAATCCTTTGTACAAGAAAGCCCCAGGTTATGATGTGTGGTGGTGGTGGTGGTGATGGTGGTGGTGGAGGAGGAGGAGGAGGAGGAGGAGGAGGAGGAGGAGGAGGAGGAGGAAAAAGAAAGAAAGTCAATGAAAGTCAGGCATCCCAATTCTTCAGAGGTTTTAGGAATGCAAAAGAAGTCCACAGCTGGAAGGATGACTTTGGGCCTTTCCACACAGCCATATACCCAGGTGTTTTGGACTTCAGCTCCCATGATTCCCAACAGCCTACAGACTGTTAGGAATTATGGGAGCTGAAGTCCAAACCTGGAGGGCCGAAGTTGGCCCATGCCTGATTTAGATGCACCCTTAGTTAATGTCTGATCTACACTCTAGAATTCATGCAGTGTGGCACCACGTGAACAGCTTTAGGCTCAATGCTATGGAAACTTGGGATCTGTAGTCTGGTGAGGCACCAGCACTCTTTGGCGGAGGAGGACAAAGACCTTGGAAAGATACAACTCCTGAGATCGTATAGCATTGAGCTGTGACAGTTCAGGCGATGCCAAGCTGATTGCTGAATTGTGTCTTCAAGGCTGCATCTTCTGCAGAATGAATGCAGTTTGACACCTCTTTGCCAGTCATTGGTTGGTAACTGCTCTTCCAGCAGTCGCCTACTAATCCCTCTGCAATGCCAGAAATACAGCTTAGTAGTGTAACATTAGAAAATGATGACCATTTCCACTACCTTGGCAGCCACCTCTCCACAAGAGTCAACCCTGATACTGAAATACAACACCGTCTGAGCTCTGTGAGTGCAGCATTTTTCCAAATGAAGCAGAAAGTGTTTGGGGACTGAGACATCCGAAGTGAGACCAAGGTGCTTGTTTATAAAGTCATTGTCCTCCCAACTTTGCTATACGTCCATGAAACTTGGACTGCCTACAAATGTCATACTCAACTCCTGGAACAATTCTATTAATGCTGCCTCCGAAAAATCCTGCAAATCTCTTGGGAAGACAAGGGAGAAAAGATTTAAAGACAGGCTTAAAGCTAAACTTAAAAACTGTGGCACAGACACTGAAAACTGGGAAGCACTGGCCCTTGAGCGCTCCAACTGGACGTCAGATGTGACCAGCAGTGTTGTGAACTTCGAAGAGGCACGAATGGAGGGTGAAAGGGAGTAGTAACATGCCAAGAGGAAGGCGTGTCAAGCCAACCCGGACTGGGACCACCTTCCACCTGGAAACCGATGTCCTCACTGCTGGAGAACATACGGGTCAAGAATAGGGCTCCACACCCACCGCCAAGACACCAAACCTGGAGGACCATCATCCTTGGGCAACGAGGGATCGCCTAACACCGATCATTGCTCAAAGCCGCGGGGTTCATGGGAAATGTAGTTTAGTGGGACACTAAGCTTTTGGGCAGGGAAGGCTCAAGACCTTACGAATTTACAACTCCCCTGATTCGATAGCATGGAGCCCTGGCAGTTCACTCAATCTGAAACGGCATTCATTCTATAATATAGTGCAGCGTTTCTCAACCTGGGGGTCAGGACCCCAGGGGGGGGTCGTGAGGGGGTGTCAGAGGGGTCACCAAAGACCATCAGAAAACACAGTATTTTTCTGTTTCTTGTGGGGGTTCTGCGTGGGAAGCTTGGCCCAATTTTCTCGTTGGTGGGGTCCAGAATGTTCTGTGATAGTAAGTGAACTATAAATCCCAGCAACTACAACTCCCAAATGTCAAACTCTATTTTCCCCCAAACTCCACCACTGTCCACATTTGGGCATACTGAGTATTTGTGCCAATATTTGGTTCAGATCCACCACTGTTTGAGTCCACAGTGCTCTATAGAGGTTGGTGAACTATAACTCCCAAACTCAAGGTCAATAGCCACCAAACCCTTCCAGTATTTTCTGTAAGTCATGTGTGCCAAGGTTGTTTCAATTCCATCGTTGGTGGAGTTCAGAATGCTCTTTGACTGTAGGTGAACTATAAATCCCATCAACTACAACTCCCAAATGACAAAATGAATCCCCCTCCCAATCCCACCAGTATTCAAATTTGGGCGTATTGAGTATTTGAGCCAAATTTGGTCCAGTGTATGAAAATACATTCTGCATATCAGATATTTACATTACAATTCATAACAGTAGCAAAATTAGTGTTACGAAGTAGCAATTAAAATGGTTGGGGGGTCACCAGAATATGAGGAACAGTATTAAGGGGTCATGGCATTAGGAAGGTTGAGAAGTTGGGAGTTGTAGTTGCTGGGATTTATAGTTCACCTACAATCAAAGAGCATTCTGAACTCCATCAACTATGGAATTGAACCAAACTTGGCACACAGAACTCCCATGACCAACAGAAAATATTGGAAGGGTTTGGTGGGCACTGACCGTGAGTTTGGGAGTTGTAGTTCACCTACATCCGGAGAGCACTGTGGACTCAAACCATGATGGATCTGGACCAAACTTGGTATGGATACTCAATATGCCCAATTGTCAACACTGGTGGAGGTTGAGGAAAATAGACCTTGACATTTGGGAGTTCTAGTTAATGGGGTTTATAGTTAGTCTACAATCAAAGAGCATTCTGAACTCCACCAACTATGGAACTGAACCAAACTTGGCACGCAAACTCCCATGACCAACTGAAAATATTGGAAGGGTTTGGTGGGCATTGACTTTGAGTTTTGGAGTTGTAGTTCACCTACATCCAGAGAGCACTGTGGACTCAAACCATGATGGATCTGGACCAAACCTTGCACGGATACTCAATATGCCCAAACTTCAACACTGGTGGAGTTTGAGGGAAACAGACCTTGACATTAGGAAGTTGTAGTTGATGGGGTTTATAGTTCTGCAATGAACTCCACCAACAATGGAATTGAACCAAACTTGGCACATAGGATTCCCATGACCAACAGAAAATACTGGAAGGGTTTGGTAAGCATTGACCTTGAGTTTGGGAGTTTGGGTTCTCCTACATTCAGAGAACACTGTGGACTCAAACCATGATGGATCTGGACCAAACTTAGCATGGATACGCAATATGCCCAAATGCCAACACTGGTGGAGTTTGAGGGAAATAGACCTTGACATTTATGAGCGGTAGTTGCTGGGATCTACAGTTCACCTACAATCAAAGAGCATTCTGAACCCCACCAATGATAGAATGGAGCCAAACTTCCTATACAGACCCAAGAGAAAATACTGTGTATTGTCGAAGACTTTCATGGCTGCTATCACTGGGTTATTGTAGTTTTTTCGGGCTATATGGCCATGTTCTAGAAGCATTCTCTTCTGACGTTTCGCCTGCATCCATGGCAAGCATCCTCAGGGGTTGTGAGGTCCAAAACTCTGAGGATGCTTGCCATAGATGCAGGCGAAACATCAGGAGAGAATGCTTCTAGAACATGGCCATATAGCTCGAAAAAAACTACAACCCAGCAAATACTGTGTTTTCTGATGGCCTTTGGCGACCCCTCTGACACCCCCTCGCGAGCCCTCCCCCAGGGGTCCCGACCCCCAGGTTGACAAACGCTGCAGCCTGCAGGGAACTCCCCTGAGTCTCTAGCCTGGAGCCCTGGCCGTTCACTCAACCCTAGAGGAGAGTGTGCCTGTGCCTTGGGTGGGTGTGTCCTCCCTCCTTCCCTCCCGCTGGCTCACCTTTTGGAGGGCGGCCTGGAGGTCTCGGGCCAGGTCGTCCCGCTCCCGAGCGAAGCCTTCTTGGCGGAGGCCGACCTGGTGGACTTCTCCCAGGAGGTGATGGAGGTAGAAGCCCGAGAGCGACGCCCCGGCTAAGAAAAGCAGCGACAGGAAGGTGGTGAAGAGTCTCCCGAAGCTGCAGAAGGAGCCTCCCCCCGCCGAAGAAGAGGAAGAGGAGGCTCCGGCCCCTTTGGCCCCTTTGGGGTGACCCTGGTGCTGGGGCTTCCTTGCCACGTCATCGTGGGCTCCTTTCTCCGCCGGCGGGGCCGCGGCGGGGCTGCCGCCTTTGTTGCTCCTTTGTTTGGCCGAAGACATGCTCGCCAGGCAGCCTCAAGGGTCTCTTGGCAGAGCACAGAACGGAACCCCCCTGCAAAGCGTGAATGGAACAGGCGGAGGGAGAGCGCGCTCAACGGCGGGAGAGAGGAAGAGGACGCGGCGAGAGGGGGGGTCGGTCGGTCAGGCGGGCTTCTCCATCTCAGCCCTTCCCAGGGAAGGAAGGAGGCAGGGAGGAGGGGACTGAGGCTGCCACGCACACCGAGAGCCAAGGCTCCAGACCCCTCCTCCGAAGAGCCTTTTTTGGGAGTCGGGTTACCGTTCCGCCCAGAACAGCCAAGTTTTCGACGCTCCTGAAAAGGAAGGAGTGGCCTCAGAAGGCTCCCATCTCAAATACAGCCAGTCTCCAAGTTGAGCCATTAAACACAATATTTTTCGGTTTGTTGTAGGTTTTTTGGGCTATATGGCCATGTTCTAGAAGCATTCTCTCCTGACGTTTCGCCTGCATCTATGGCAAGCCTCCTCAGAGGTAGTGAGGTGTCTTGGAACGAGGAAAATGGGTTTATATATCTGTGGATCTCCACAGATATATAAATCCATTTTCTGATATATACACCCATATATAAACACAGATATATAAACCCATTTATCTAGTTCCAACATACCTCACTACCTCTGCCATAGATGCAGGCGAAACGTCAGGAGAAAATGCCTTTACAACAGTGTTTCTCAACCTGGAGGGGGTGTCAGAGGGGTCGCCAAAGACAATTAGAAAACACAATATTTTCTGTTGGTCGTGGGGGTTCCGTGGGGGAAGTTTTGCTCAATTCTATCATTGGTGGAGTTCGGAATGCTCTTTGATTATAGGTGAACTATAAATCCCAGCCACTACAACTTCCAAATGTCAAGGTCTATCTTCCCCAAACCGCACCAGTGTCCACATTTGGGCATATTGTGTATTCATGCCAAGCTTGGTCCAGATGCATCGGTGTACTCTGGATGTGGGTAAACTACAACTCCAAAACCCAAGGTCAATGCCCACCAAATACTTCTAGTATTTTCTGTTGGTCATGGGAGCTCTGTGACCCAAGTTTGGTTCAATTCCATCATTGGTGGAGTTCAGAATGCTTTTTGATATTGTAAGTGAACTATAAATCCCAGCAACTACAACTCCCAAATGACAAAATCAATCCTCCCCTCAATCCCACCAGTATTCAAATTTGGACATATTGAGTATTTGTGCCAAATGAATGAAAATACATCCTGCATATCGGATATTTACAAGATGATTCATAACAGGAGCAAAATTATAGTTGTGAAGTAGCAGTGAAAATAATGTTATGGTTGGGGGTCACCACAACATAAGGAAGTGTATTAAGGGGTCGCGGCATTAGGAAGGTTGAGAACCACTGCTCTAGAACATGGCCATATAGCCCGAAAAAACCTACAATAACCCAGTGATTCCGGCCATGAAAGCCTTCGACAATACAATAATATTCATTTCTCAGTACAGTCGAGTCTCGCTTATCCAACCTTCGCGCACCCAACGTTCTGTATTATCCAACCCAGTCTGCCTCCCACCCGGAATAATATCTTTTTCTGTCAATTTATTGTAAAACGTGATGCTTTGGTGCTTAATTTGTAAAATCACTATGAAATTTGTAAAATCACAAGCTGGGATGTGTACAGAGGAGTGTGACTAAAATGAGCAAGGATCTGGAGAACAAGCCCTATGAGGAGCGGCTTAAAGAGCTGGGCTTGTTTAGCCTACAGAAGGGAAGGCTGAGAGGAGACATGATGAGGGCCATGTATAAATATGTGAGAGGAAATCATAGGGAGAGGGAGCAAGTTTGTTTTCTGTTGCCCTGAAGACTAGGACTCGGAGCAATGGCTTCAAACTACAAGAAAGGAGATTCCATCGGAACATCAGGAGGAACTTCCTGGCTGTGAGAGCTGTTCAGCTGTGGAACTCTCTGCCCCGGAGTGTGGTGGAGGCTCCTTCTTTGGAGGCTTTTAAACAGGCTGTATGGTGCTTTGAATGCGATTTTCCTGCTTCTCGGCAGGGGGTTGGACTGGATGGCCCACGAGGCCTCTTCCAACTCTATGGTTCTATTATTCTTATTTGACATTTAACAGGCTTTTCCTTAATCCCTCCATATTATCCAACATTTTCGCTTATCCAACGTTCTGCTGGCCCATTCATGTTGGATAAGCGAGACTCTACTGTATATATGTACACAGTTAATGAGGTTAGGTAAAGGTTTTCCCCTGACATTAGGTCTAGTTGTGTCCGACTCTGGGGGTGGTGCTCATCTCCATTTCTAAGCTGAAGAGCTGGCGTTGTCCATAGACACCTCCAGGTCATGTGGCTGGCATGACTGCATGGTGCACTGTTACCTTCCCACCGGAGCAATACCTATTGATCTACTCAGATTTGCATGTTTTCGAACTGCTAGGTTGGCAGAAGCTGGGGCTAACAGCTCCCCGGATTCAAACCTAAGACCATTCAATCAACAAGACTTTGAAAAATTAGGCTTGTTGTGGAAACAGGTTTGGTGATAAAGCTTCAGCGGAGATCCCTTTTCCCCATGATAACTCAGGAGTGAATTTCCCTTCCTAGAGGTAGATTTCTCTCACTTCCTGTTGTTTGCCCACATTCTTTACTATGAGTCACTTGTAAGTCAGATGTCTGTAACTCAGGGACTGCCTATAATAGGAAGAAGAGATGTTCAGGGAGTGTATATGTGTCTATACTTTCAAGAGAGCATTGATTTATGGTTGCTCCATCCATTCCACTGGCGTTCCTTAGGCAAGGAATGCATGGGGTGCATCTACATTGCAGAATTAGTGCAGTGTTTTGGTGGTGGTGGTGGTGGGGTGCTATTAATTTTTATTGCTAGAAAAGAAACACCATAATACAACTATAATAAAGTTATACATTTTTAGAAAACACCCTACTAATCTACTTTTTAATTAGGACAAAAGAAATCATACCTGACAATACACAAATATATAAACACAACAAATAAAACACACCAACACAGAGAAAGACATCTATACTAAAACAAAACTAACTAATGCATAAAGACTAGTCTACAAACCTCTGACCATCTGCTGGTTTTTAAAATTCTAACTATTCCACTCCCTTTAAGAAATATTATATAATAATGCAGTGTACATCCTAGAAGATGCAGTTTGGTGAGGTACCAGCACTCATTGGCAGAGAAGGCGAAAGACCTTGGAAAACTACATCTTCCATGATTCCATAACATGGACTTGTGGCCATTAATGTGGAGTAAAATTGCATTAATTCTACAGCAGAGCTTTCTAAAGTGTACCTCGTGACACATTAGGGTGTTGGCTGTGGTGTGTTGGTGAGTCGCTCAAACGTAACGAGAAGCCTCTGTGTCTATGTGAAATAAACAACAAATCATACATTTTAAAAATATAAAGATTTTCATGAGATATGTTGTGTCCCCATACATTTCATTAACACAACTTATGTATGTGTCCGTTTCTCTTATAAGAATTTGGTTTAACCTCTGGTTTGCTAGTAAAACCGAATGACTGTGTCACAAAATGATGCATGTCAAAAGAGTGTATCTCCAACATTAAATGTTGGGAAAGCTTTGTGTAGATGCAATCTTTGTTTCTATGCCTTAAGGTCGCCTCTTGGTTTATGGCGACCTCATGAATTCCATCACGTTTTTAAAGGGTGCATTTATAGTACATAATTAATGCAGTTTGGTGCTACGTTGATTGCTGTGGCTCAATGCTGTGGAATCCTGGGAGCTGTCGTTTGAAGAAACAGTCTTTGAAAGCAAAGGCTAAAGACCTTGTAAAACTACAACTCCCAGGATTCCATAGCATTGAGCCATGGCAGTTAAAGTGATGTTGAACTGCATTAATTCTACAGTGGTGATGCACCCTTAGGCAAAGAATACTCAGTGCTATTTTGACCAGGTTGTTGTTGACTTGTGCATCATGCTATTTCCAACCTAAGAAAGCCCTATCACAGGGCTTTCTTGACACGATGTAGTCAAAAGAAGTTAGCCATCGTCTTCCTATTTGACTGAGAGAATGTGGCTTGCCTAAGGTCACCCAAGGACTTTCATAACAGAACAGAGATTCAGACCCTGGTCTCCACAGTCTAGTTCAATGCTCAGATCACTATACCAGGCATGGGCAAACTTTGGCCCTCCAGGTGTTTTGGACTTCAACTCTCACAATTCGGAATTATGAGAGTTGAAGTCCAAAACACCTGGAGGGCCAAAGTTCACCCATGTTTACACTATACCAGTTTGGCCAGTTCCTTCTTCTGAAAAAGTTACTTTTTTTTGGACTTCCATTACCAGAATCCCACAGCAAGAATGGCCACCCAGAAAAGCCCCATTTACCATGCTCTGGAAGTTCTAGTCTACAGCATTGAGGAGGAGAGACATCTAATGTTTAAATAACATTTTTATTAAATTTCTACATTATATACAATATCACTGTCTATGGAAGAGTTAGGATCAACCAAAAGAAATTTCGTAGTCTCATTGCAGCCATTTGGAGTAGGATTTATCTATGACAAAAAGGCTTGAGATTACAACCGCCACTACTACACACGTGCTGACAAGACTAACAGCCGCAGATTTATTTAAGTTCGTTTGTACCCCCTCCTTTTTTCCATCATGCAACTCAAGACTCTCTAAATCAGTTAATCTCCTTAGGGCACTGAATGAATTATCTCTCACTTCCTGATTTTTATCTATGCTATTATGTTGCCATGAATAGTACATTAGAGGCATCATATTACAGAAAGTGGTGATATTGGCTGACTTAAAAGGAATTTGGGGTTCTTTTACCTTGTTTTAATAACCCGCTTTATGCAGTGGAGTACAGTGGGACTTAGATGTGCATAGAGGAATGCAGCCTTTTTCTATGGATGGAAAACCTCTGGCCCTGCTAGATGCAATCAACACAATAAATACTCTTTTAGCACTACATCATTATAGTATTATGATTCCACTCAAACAGTCAACTTTCCATCATATTGAATCCTAGGATTTGCAATTTTAGGGAGGGATGTTTAGAATACTCAGACAGAGCACTCTAGTGACTGCAAACTACAAACCCAACTAAACTGGAATCAGAGTGCTATAACTGTGTAGTGTGAAAGGAACCACAGTTCTTCACTGAGTTTAGTGCAGCTTTTGCTTGTCATGTCCAGTTAAAGCTCTTGTAGCTACACTAAAAAGATGTAACTGATTTCTGGATTGATATAATCAAACCTGAC